TCGACTGTGGCATAATAAAAGCTCCGCTGCTTGTGTCGTGTCACGCTCGTTCAGCGGCCTCGTTTCGCTTCGACGGCGTTCAGCCTCACCCTGCTTCATTCTACTATGTTAATAAATCATTAGCTAATCCATGAACATGATTTCTGCCCGAGTCCCGTCAGATTGCGTCGGCTGTGGGGATAAAGACCAAACTCCCATGATTCCACACTCAGTCACAGCGTCATCAAACTACGCCTTTTTTTGTTTGTTTTGAATATGCGCCCTCTAGCTGCGAAAATTACATATTGTGCCTTTAAGCGAATTGGCGACTTATAACTTATATGTTGTGCAGGTGCATTATTCTGCTGCATTAACTCCACTTTTATACTTTGCGGGAGTTAGGTTAAGACAGATGTGCGATTGTGTGGTTTGTTCCCGACGCTGTCGATCAAAAGCAGATTCGGGTCTCGGAACACGTGTGAAACGCCCCGATGCTTTGATTCGGCTTTAGTCACGTGACATGAGTGTTGTGACTCACACTTTGGAGCAGTGTTTGGAAACATCTGCGCTTCGGGATCTCGACACCGATCAGCCATCCCTAGTTTTAGGTTCGGGGTAGATAATTGATCGTTATTGAGCTTTAATATTCGATTTCCACATGTGGCGGCATCATGAAACGCCCTTTCATCCGTTCAAAAATCCAGCTCATTCAAGCGTTGTTATTGCTCTGTGTCTGTCTTTGTGTGTGTAGGCCTGTGTTTTCTCTTGTCTTTTTTTTTCTTGGTCTGGAGGTAACAATACCTATGCATTATGAATGAGTGAATAATTATTCATTTAATCATTCAAATATTTATTTTGGTGCTCAAGATGAAACAGCTCTATGTTCGTCAGTGACTTACTTCATGAAAGATATTTATTTTGGTGCTGAAGATGAAACAGCTCTATGTTCGTCAGTGACAAACATCATGAAAGTAGACCACATTTTCTTAACAATATTGAGATATATTCCAAGTCTAAAAGTGTTTTTAAATCATTGTTTTATGAGTGACAAAGTGAGGTTTTTGGGGGGTGAAGTCCTTTACTAGTGTTATGAAGAATGGCTGTCTCTCTGACTCTGGTTTCATTGAGGTTTTCAGGCAGGGCCCAGGTCTCTCAACACACAGAAAGACACTCGTTGTTCTCCATCTTGTGGTGTAATGATAGAATAGAACCTACAGAAAGAGTTGCTGAATTCATCTTTTAGTGAATGGATTCAACACCTTGGAATAACTGGAGAAATCAACATCCCCACCACATCTTCTTCTGGTGCTTGGATTATAAAGTCAGCATAGGGAGGAGTAGAGGGTGTTTTGGAAGGTTATACAAGTGGGCAATAATAAAATGGAAATGTTACATGATTTGGGTTCCTATAAAGGGCAGACTGACTTACTCCAGGTGAGATTTTGCCAAAATTATCATTTATATGAATGCAGCACTACATTAAGCGCATGAGGGTGGAAGGAGAGTTTCTTATTGGTAAAAGTAGTTGAAAGGCAACTGGCCAAACAGTCCAGCAGGTGTGTAAAAACCATAGACTGCATTCAAACCCAGACATTATATTATTATTATGACTCATGCAAACCAAAGCGCGATGCTCGCAAACCAAAGGCGATGCTCAGAGAAAAACGGAAGGAAGTGAAAGAATAATCAGAGAGGTTGAGGTTAGAAGAAAAGCCATTGCCTGGAAACATGGGCGTATAAGGGTCTGGAGTGGGGTTAAGAATTGTGCTATAACACAAATACTACAAATACAACTCATTATATACACTAAACACTTTAAAAGAGACAGACGTGTAGATGTTTGTAAAAGATGTTTTCTCTGTTTTGGAGAAATGAACATTGTTAAATGATACTGCATTAAAATGGGTTAATATTTTACTATAGGGGAGGATCATTTTATCAGTTGTTTATTAATCATGAAACAATACTACTGTTATAGTTTTTGTTAATAATCATTGCTAATATAGATGACAACTTTGTCTAGTGCTCTTATGAATGTCTTTAGCATGACTTTGTGAAAATGTACTACTAGCTACTGAATGAAATAGCATAGAGTTTTTCACGGCTAGTGTTTGCTATTCATCTCATTCTGTACTTGTTCTAGATCTGTGTACTAGTGTTAAATGCTACTGTTTCTGACAGCGTTGATAAGGTTTCTGATGGATAATATCTATATAGTATATATGATATTTTTTTGCTTTTGCGTTACCGAATGTCCTGTCAGCAATAACCTGTCCATGGGCTTTTTTTCCACGGGCCTGGCCAGAAAGTACATTTTGTAGGCTACCTATTAGATGTTTTAGCTATGTTTTATTACCATCTACACCT